TTATTTATCTGTTGATTAGGGTCGGGAGGAAAGTATTGTTGGGTTGGTTACCTACCTTCGTTTTCCCTCCCACCCACCCCTTTGCATGCATTTCCGGGTTGGTACAGTGCCATGTCAGCAACAGTGCCACGTCAGCAGTGCCACGTCAGCAACAGTACCACGTCAGCAGTGCCCCGCCACCATGACGGGCTCAGCTTTGGGCATGCCAGGCCAACTGGCCAACGAGTCCATTGTCGAGTACAAACAGCGGTTCCAGACTCAGCTCGCACTGATCGAGGCCGAGGAACAGCGCCAGGTGGCAGCCGAGGCTGTCCGCCTACAGGTTGAAGCGGCGGCAACAACTGAGAAACAACGACTTCAAGCCGAAGCCGAAGCAGATACCCAGGCACGCGGCAAGGAGGCCCAAGATCTGGTACAGCGGCATGAAGCCACCAGCATAGAAAAGCTTAAGTTTTGGCACTTTGAACCATCCGAGGAGCACGACGACGCGACACCGGAGGAGCAGCACAAGGAATTCATGGCCAAACTCGTGACTAGGTTGGTTTACACTTGTAACCACCTGCAGTCCGAGTTGGTGAACCTCCAGCGGGCCGTACGGAACCACAAGGCTCAGCACGAGGATGCAGCACGGGCACTTGATTCCCGTGTACAGGACTTGGAGCAAACTGCACCAAGGCCGAGGCTGGTGAGTCCAGCAGTGCACCCTCTGCCCGCCAACTGGAGGAACGAGTTGACCACGTAGTCGCAATGCTCGGCGACATCAGTACCTTAGCTGCACCAGCCACCATCAACAATCAGCTGGACACCTTGAAGACCGAGGTTCAACAACTGCACCAGCTGCCTAACAAGGATAGCAACGCCGTGCAACACTACAAGATGCCGACATTCCAAATCGAGAAGTTCGATGATTATATGCATCAAGACCCGGTCCTCTGGTGGGAGGGCTTTACAACGCAACTTCGGATTCTGTTCGTCGCCAAGCACGCGTACATCGGTGCGTTGTTCCTCAACTCAAAGGGCGGATGCCAGATCTGGTTGAGCCACCTGGCAACCGTCCACGGTGTCGACGTCGCAGATCTGAAAGACGATCTCTTGGGAAGAGCTAACACGGCTATGGAAGAAGCAGTTCATCGTGGACGACGCCCCGACGCTCGCCATCAACCGCCTCTTCACTATGACGCAAGGCAACACATCGACACGTGACTGGCTCACGGAATGGCAAAAGATCGCGGCAACGCCCGATCTTGACTTGCCATGTTCGCATCTACGCCGCGAGTTCTGCAACCGATCATGGGCCGCCTTGAGCCTTGCACTTGGTGATCGCGAGCAATACGCGACCTTCGCCAAAATCATCGACAAGGCAAGGGAGATCATCAAGACCAATAGGGCAGCTGCACATGAGAAATCAGCATGGCAGCCAACCTATGTGGAGAAGGTGAAAACTGCTCCGCGACCGCAACATGTCGCTGCAG